TCCAATGTAGGAAGATTATCCAGGTCACTCTCTTGGTTTGTTATTTGTATATCCCTTTTAATTACTAAGACATCAGCCGGTTTCTTTTGTATGTCCAGTGTAGCACCTTTTTCCATGTCATTCTTTTAGCTTGTCATTTTTAAATCCACTTTCACATCAGTCTCAATCATGTCAGGTAATACTTGTTCCTCTTCCATAGCATCTTTTAAACACAGTCTATCTATAGAGGCAGACTCTCTTAAAATTAGCTCCTGGGCCCATTGTTCAAAAATATCCTTTAATATTTCCAATATTAAAATATTTTGCTTCATTCTGTATTAGTAAGTTGAGTTTAATTGTATCTCCTTTAATTGTTTAATTAATCTCCTTTAATTGTAATCTTTAGTTCCTTCTAGTTCTCTCTAGTTCCAGTTTTTAAAGTGTCCAATTTTTCTTATCTTATTTCTTTTTTTTAAAGAATTCAAAACAAAAGCATTTTCTCACAGGAAAGATTCTTTATAATTAATTCCAAAATCTTATTTCAAATTTATCTGGACCCTTAGTCTGTTTGTAACTTTCTAAAATCAAAGTTTTAACCACCCTTTTGCTATTTATTCTAGAAAAAAAATTAAGTTCTTAAACTTGTATTTAAAACTTCTTTCACTAAGAATTGAAGGAAACTCACCTGGTGTTGTAAAACCTGTTGATCCAAAGATTCCCAATAGCTGAAAAGCAGTTAACAAGCAATTTCCAAAAGTGATTAGAAAAGGAAGTATGCAAACCCGGTGTCCTTTTAAAGGTGTCGACTGCAGTTTCAGCAAGATGGTTATTCCCTCACCTCCCAGAGTGCTAAACCCGCCAGAGACTGCAGTCTTGTGGTCTTCTCATGAGGAGCAACTTCTGGAGCACTTGTGGGCAATCTCAAGTCCTCTCCTTGGCCGGAGAGGAATTATAAAGAGCCAGTCTACTTGCTGGCTCTTCATTCTGCCATGCTCATCGGCTCCGTTTTTTGGAGAGCCATCTTCAGTTTACCATTTCTTCTCCGAAAGTCAGGTTTTCAAGATCTTTCTGAGCATCATCAGTGACCGTACAATTCAAATCTCAGGGACAAACTGTTCTATAAACTGAAAAAAAAATTAGCTTTCTCACCCCTCTTTTCATTTTTAGATTATTTTATATATTGTCATCTGCATTGTAAGATTTCTTGCCCTGAAAAACAGCTGAAATCTGTAAACATCAAATTACAAAGTCAATCAGAAATATGTCAAAGCCATTTTCGTGTGGTCCATCATTCTATTCCCACAGCAGCCAAGGAAATGTACTGGAAAATCCCTAAGTAGGACTTCAGTGCAGTTACAATCTCTTAGTCTCCTCTAGCAAGTTTTTTTTTTTGAAAGGGTTACTGCTTTTGTTGGCTTGTCTGTACGGAATCCTTCACCATAAATATCCTTCCACTTCAAGCATCTTGGGTTGCAATGTTATCATTTGACGTTTTGGTTGCCTTTTGTTGCAGGAGAATTGGCACTGGCATCTGGGTGCATTGGTTGGTTCTGAGCCATGTTTGATATTATTTCTGAACTCTTTTTAAAGTTAAGTATAGGCAGTCCCCTACTTGCGAACTTTTGTGTTGTGAACTTTCACCAATATGAACAAAATGAACCTGGAAGTTGGGCCGGAAGTCAGGAAAGGATTAGTTTGCAGCATGCCGCAAACAAGCCCTTTCCCGCCTTCTCCCGCCTTCTGTTTGCATTGGAGGTTTGCACTGGAGTTGGAGTTCCCAGAAAGGGTTAGTTTACGGGGTGTGCTCCATCACCAGGTAAGGCAGGAGAAGGGGCAGTGGCAGAGGATGGGGAGAGGGGATGGAGGTCTCCTGCCTCACCTGGCAACAGAGAATGTCGCACCCCGCTGGCTCGTCCTTCACCCAAGGAGCCATCGTTGCCTCTCCTGCCTCACCTGGCAACGGAGCATGCCACGTAAACTAACCTTTTCTGGGAACTCCAACTCCAGTGCAAACCTCCAACCTCCTGAAAGGCGGGAGAAGGCAGGAAAGAGGTAGTGTGCGGCATGCCTCCGCCCCCTCTCCCCTGCTACCACCCCCTCTCCTGCCTCACCTGGCGACACATTGGCAGCAGAAGATAGGGCTCCTCTGCCCACACCACTGCCCTGCCTCCTGCCTTCTCTTCTATTTTTTACTTTTTATTTTGACTTACAAACAAAACGGACTTACGAACAGCCTCTTGGAACATAACCCATTCATAAGTAAGGGACTGTCTGTATTGGAGATATCATTTGATGATCACTCGAGTTTTTTCTGCAGAATAGGTCTCAGATGAGTCTTCATCCTCATGCCCATTCTGCTTTTGGAGTCCTGAAATGATCTACCCTGTCAGGTTATGATTGTGGTCATTATTCATTGATCCAGTGTGTGTTTTTAATCTAGTATCTGTGATTCCATGGGACTGTAGTATGTCTCAGAGTATTTATGGTGTTTGTTCTTTAAATTCTAGGTTTCAAGAGAAGGAAGATTCTTAAACATGTTTGCCTAAATGTGTGAGTGACATTACCAAAAAAAAGACTCCGCTTGTGCTAGAGAATCATTTCTGGAATTTTATGAAGAGACTATAACATTCTTACGTGCTTAGAAGCATCCTTGTTTAAGCTGGATGACTGGCGGATGGTGACAGGTTGCACACTTCAACTGAAAATAGAAACAATAGCAAAAACAGAACCTGAAAAAATGGCCTTGCAGAACTTCAAATCTGCTTTACCTCAACTCTGTCTTGGTCAGTGAAAGGAAAGAACAGTGATCATAGTATGTGCTGATGTTGCAAGTCTCTTTATTGCTGCTGTTATGTGTATTTATTTTCCTATAAACTCATGTTTTTATTGAATTTTACTGCTTCCTCCTGTAAGCTTCTGAGTTGTTCATGGGACAAGGGAGAAGAGAGATCTTTCACTTTCCTTTGGATATGCTATGGCTTTCATCATCCAGGTCTGAATTCTGTTTCAAGAAGAAGGAATAAGAGGATTCTGTGTGGGTGGTTGCTTAGCAATGCAGTTGTACAAACTCCTCATAATCCTATATTCTGCAATGTGATATAATTCTTCTGCTTTGTGGCTCTTTTTGGAAATTGATGTGAGATTGCAGTGGTAGCTAAATGAGCAAGATAGGAGTGAATAATTAGCAGTCTTTCTTGGATCCAGTTTGGCCTCCTGCCACCAGACATCATGAAGAAGCTATGCAAATTTTCTGATTTTTGTTAGTGTGGGCCTCAAGAATGTCTCCCCTTAAAGGCTTGTGTAGCTTTTAGATGTATTAGCTACAGACCAGTAGGAGGCACTTCACAAACCTTAAACAGGATTTGAACTCAGAGGCCATGCACTTGGCAACTATACAGTGCATTTAGCTTTAAAGTTATCTTAGCCTGGCTGCTAGTAGACTACAGGAAAGGTAATCTTATAGAAGCTATGCAAGTATGCCTTCCTTTTCTCTATATGCCCTCATACTAGAGAGTTTTCTGAATTTTGGCCTGTAGGTTCAAATCCCATTCAACAGTTGAACATAGAACATCTGGCATGAGGATGCCTACACCTGAAGAATCCCAATAGTGAAACCTGTTGCATAGTGCCTCCTACTGGTCAATAGCTAGCATAACATCCAGGCATCATGAAGATTTGAAATGTGTGAAGAGGTTTGCAAAAGCCAATTCCTATTGGGTACCATAATGCTGTTTGATATGCAGCCTTCACCTCTTGAATCATTGTGGGTTCTTAGTACTTCAGACTACAGTACTCTCCGCCATCATTCTGTCCCCTTGAGTTTTCCAAAATTTGATTTCTTCATCATGTTCAGTATGACACAGAATATTGGGAATTGGCTTGTATATTGAAAAGTATTTGGGGTGAGTATTTTATTCCAATTCCTCTCCAAGCTGTAGGCTTGTATCACACAATATTCCTGGTGCTGTGTGCAGAGACTGTCCGTAGAAAATGGTGTTCAGATGCAGACTAGCAGTGGAAACCCTTAGTTTTACCTTCAAACCTATATAAGAGCAATGAAATAGCTATCACTGGTGGAAACTGAACCAGTTGGAAATTCACTCTGATGCAACGGGGATCTGATCAGAGGCTTGCACTCTAGCCCTGATCATGTTACCTAGTCAAGTAATGGCATGTCTGCAAGCAAACCACCAAGCTCAGAGAGCACCAAGGACTCCACAGCTAGCATCTCAGTCCTACACATCCTTACAGAGAACAGCCCTTCAGAAGCCAGTGCTTAAGAAGGGGGCAGCTTTTAAGTTTATGTCTGCATAAACTGACAGTGATATTAACTGGTCTTGCATCTTCTACTCCGATTTACAACAATTATGTCAGGCTAACGTGATCATTTGTCATTCTTTGATACTTTTACTTAAGCCAGACAGCCTTAAATAGTCCGTTTCGCTGCGAAAAGTCTTCTGTAACATTTTAAGGCTTTAATAAACATTATGACATAAGACTGAGTAGATCAGCATTTCTAAGAATGCAACAGGCTTTTAAAGGGCTACAGGATTCCTTGTCATCAACAGCAACTTCCAGACAATGCTCCCTAATGGACCTCGGCTGTTTCCGTGGTCTTTCTCCAGGCAAAGCTTCGGGGCTGCAAATAAACAAAAGTCCGTCTCTTCATCGCCTCCAGAACTAGGTCTGTTCCATGCCGATGGTCATCCGCAGAACCACCTCGAAGCGAGCCCCACCGCCCCAAGAGCACAGGAAAGCCAGGCTTGCTTGGTGTAATGAAGCCTCGCATCCCTGACGCGCTCACGCGGCTCCCTTTCCTTTCGCGCACACCGGAAGTGAGTCTGGAATCTCCACGGGGACCTGTTAAGGCGGCCCACTTGCACCGGAAGTAGGAAATGAGGTCGGAAAGCGACGGCGGCCAGGAGCGGCGGGGGCCCCTCCTCGCCTCCTGCTGCTGCGAGGAAGAGGCGCCGACTGCACCGTGAGGGTGGGTGCCGCGGCTGAACAGGCGCCGGGAGCTGACCGGGGGCTGGGGAGGGCCCGGGCGAGCTCTGGGTCGGGGCTCCGCGGATACTCTTCCCTCCTGCAAGCAGCTCCACCGCGG